TTCAATTGACAACCGCTGAAATTTAGTGCTGTAAACTACGAATCAGAAAACACAGAATCCAAAAGAAATCATGCTGAATAAATGATAAGTATTTCATTGGAATGAGTTAATCAGTCTCCCTCTCTTACGATTTCCTCGAAAGCTTTAATTTCCCATTTAACTGTGTCTGTCGGTCAAATCGACTGCTCTGGTTAACTGAACGAATGCGCGGCAGCAGTGTGCTGCCTAGGCGGTGCAATGTGATATTGTAGACGCCCCTTCTCCCCTTTATTTAAATGTTGTTTGAGAATTGCGGTGTCCCTCGTTCAAGGGTTACCTCCCTCCTCAAGACCCGAAAAATGCGTTTCACCTTTATAATGTCACATTGCGCTGCTGCAACGGTGCCAGTTAATAGATCTTCTAGTAGCAACGAAGTTCAAACAAATGAGGATCTGCAAATTTAACTATAATAAGGCATGTTGACACACTTATGCATGAGAAGAGTAATCTTTTGTGCTCAAATCTATATTGTATATGAACATATACACTTCAGTGCGATTTCCTTCACGCTGATGTTGGTAGCAGTCTAAAAATGCTCGGGAAAGCTCGCTTTAGTCTATAGTCAGTAAATTCATAAAATTTAGTTAATTTGCAGTTGACATGTTTTACTGGTATGGTTGTCTATCGTTTGAGCAAGGCTAAAATATAGTCTTTATTTGTTTGTATATAAAAGCAGCAACAAGGGTTACACCTTGCATTGATTCACGCTAGATAGTCAACTGAGTCAAGATGAATCGAACTTGTAACTGGCTGCGCTCGTATCAGAAAACACAGCCGTACATCTCACTCAGTCTAACAATCCACAAAAGAAAAATATGCTGTATGCTGACCCATAATTCGCATCTGAACGACTTCACATTTATATCTCGGCTTGTTGCGCCGAAGCAACTTGGGATATATCGTTCGTTTAATGAAATTGGCGGTTGAAAAAACTTTTTTGGATTTGATCTTGGCATCTCCAGAGTTCGAAGCCGGCCTTTGCCTCATGTCACCGCATCCCAAAACGTTATGTTGTCTTACTGTTTGCAGGCCATCGACTTGCCACCTTCTTCTTGACAAGTTGCACAAAACTCAATTGGTGAACTCCCTGCACAGTAGAATTAGAAATTACTAAAATAACTTTAGTTAGAGTATTATTTATTCCGCCACTGCCCCCCCCCCCATTCGCGTCATAAATTTGCGGAATGTATCAATAATATTAAACCTTTACGGATGGCCACAGTACTGAGAAAAAAAATTATTGGTTTGCAAAGATAAAATTATGATGGTGAGATTGTTCCGATGAGCATTTTAGAGTCGTCACAAAAATGTTTTTAAGATTCGACGGAAAATGGACTGAAAAAATTAAGGCTGTTCGCCTCGAAGTCGCAGTACGTGCAGTTCGTGCTTCGCAGGACTTACGAAAAGGTTTTAATTCCTGACGAAGGCTGTAGGCAGCTTTCCAGGAAGATTGTGGTGTTCCTCACAGGTGGAAACGCCTCACAAATAGAGGTAGACGATAACCCAAAAGACCTTTACGGCATCGCTAATCTTTTCCGATCGAACTATTACGTGGTCATCCCGATTACGTTTCACACCGGCGTTGCAGACGAAACAGAGAACAGAAGATACAAAACGTACTCGAAAGCGATCGAAAAGCTGGTATCGTACAATTCATCATATTTTATCGATGCAGGCTCGTTCACCGAATTGCCAAAATCTGCTAGTGCCAAAGTTACGCAACTAATAGACGATCTCCTTGGTGTCGTGAGGAAAACAGAGTCAGTAAATCTCTTTGGCAAGAATGTGCTGGGTGAGTGTACTCGCTTTCATTTAGTTTAATACGGCCACCTGACACTTAGAACTACAGAATTAATAGCAAGGTAAATTGTGCTCTTCCAGAGGAGTTTCAAGCAAAACAAAAATGATTTATTAAAATAAACAATTTTTCATTAATTATTTAAATAAGAAATGTCGAGTAAACTACGGCTGCCCTGTCAGGAGCAACATTCGCAACGGTTCTGTCTCTTATGGTGGCAAGTCACCTGTAGGCCACGTCAGACTTAATTGTTAAATGTTATTATGTATGGCCTGGACAATGGGCCACCTTGATATCGCACAGATTCATGGCTTGTTTAAAAAGTGACTCTAATGATTGTTATTGGCTGTTCAGATACAAATTCGACTAGATATAAGATGCAAAAGAAATGAGAGCAATAATGAAGCAGTTGGATACTAGCGAACGCCATGAGGCAGCAGCACTACTTAGATTAAGCTAACCGTAAGGGTCCTTTCTAGTTTCACTCTACGTTTGTACTCCAAGGTCAAGCACCTTCGACTTTTGACGCCACAACAGCTGCATACCACAGAGCCAGCCGCAGAAACTAACCCACACCTCCCTTAAGAGGGTTCGTGAGAGACGAGTTGAAATGATGTCAGTACTCGTCAATCTCCCGAATGACCAACTTGCTTGTTTGCGTTGTGCATGAACGAAGCGTTTTTATACGTTTTTCAATATTAACAACAAAGTACAAAAAAAATTACTCAATCTTCGCATGTTTTTGCATTGTGCTGATATGCAACAAAACATCTGCAATACTGGAAAATCTCTGCCAACATTTAGGACTGTATCACACAGGCATTCTCAATGTATATATAAACAACTGACAACGTTGTGACTTGTTCTGCAACGAAGACAGGTTGAATAAACATTTTATTTTCAGTAACAATCCATCAATAATTGACATAAATTAATACTACTTATGATATACAATTATGAGTAATAATTGTTACTTTTCAGATATAGTTATATATTCCGTCGGCGGTATTTTCTTTTCGCTGTTAGCTGTATGTCTGTGCTGCGGTCTAACAACGGTTTACAGGTCAAGGAAACTTATGCAAAAGCAGCAGGCGTTGATCGGAAAAGTTTTCTCATGCTGTGGAAATGGAAATAGTAGCGAAGAGGCGGAAAAGGTCGATCAGCATCAATTTGATTCCATTGACCAAAAAACCAGGCAGAAAATGAAACCCAGAGCTCGGCGCAAGGGTGATCGCGAACGTTAGCGATTAGAATCGGAGTTATATGGTCGAGTAGCAGAGATATCTGGTTGTCTACTAACCAATTGCTCCAATGCAAGAATATACGCTCATATTAATGTGAAATTCGTAATTTGATCTGTAGCAGGGTCAGCGGTTATAAGAATGAAAATAGAACTTTGAGAAAGAGTTGTAAGCGTGATAAATGAGGTCACGAGTCATTGCTTAATGACTCTACATTTAGCTGCTTCAATAGCAGCATACCAGCCATACGGATTAATCAACGCAGCATCACTTCGATCTCGAAGTGAATATTTCATGAACTTAGAAAATGATAAAACAGGGTACACATGATTGCAGCTGTTAACTAGAAACAACACCAAATGACTGCAAGCCCAAGCTGAAGTGACAGTTTCCTTCCAACAAACATTGTTGGAAATGAAATGGAACAAATCAAAATGGTAAAACGTTCCGACTACTCGCTAAGCCTGTCTCACGTCGTTCATATATCGATATAATTATCGACGATGCCTCTTTCTAATATCATAGCTAAATTTAACATAAAATTAGGGAAATTCCATGAAATCAAATATACAGGTCTTTCTAGGTGGAACCTTGCCATGCGGTTTCGAAATCACGG